AGGTACTCTCAAAGCTGGAGAGAATATGTATCCAGAAATACAGAACTGCTACTCTGATACAATGGACACTGCTTTATAACTTCTAATACATAGTCTTGTAGTGCATGTTGATGATGTGGTGTATTGCTTTCTTTTTGATAACATTCATTGCATAACACATAGAGCTAGATAGGTATTAGATATTTCTCCATAACATGATTCATTGCAATATGAGCCACGCCTTTCTTTATTAATTGGGAGAATTAGCTGAGTCTGAAATTATAATGATATTCTCAAGCTGTTAGATCTACTTCTGCTTGAAGCATTTATACTGGAAGAGGTCTATGGATCTAGTTTTTAAAAATGCTCATTCTTTACGTTCTTGTTGTTTGTGCTTTATGTGCCCAAATCTCAAGTATGCTTCATTCTCTTTTATTTTTGTCATAAAATCTACATCCTGTTAGATGCCCAGACCTGTAGAGTTGGAAATGACTATCAATTACAATCCAAGCTAAGTAATAGCAATACCCGTGGAAGGTGGTTTCTAAATACCGCGGTGCCAGCAACTTGCTCAGGATCTATAAACAGATACAGAGTCAGGTATTATGATAATAATTTGAATGATGGAAATTATGACATTATTCTGGCCGTCTGGAAGCCAACCAACTCAAACTTAACATATGAAAAAGTATAACTATGCTATAAAGTGACCTAGTTATGTACATTTTATGTGTAGGACTCTGCTACAATGAAAGAATACACCCTCAACTATGATGACAGTAAGTTTATAATTAATTTTATGCTGCTGTGTTTACTTGCTAATTTAGAGCGCCGAAGAAAGCGAGCCACTAACACATTCAATACATTTGATGCAGTTGGTGTGCGAAAAGATAGTGTCATTGGAGTATATATAGTTAATAGTAAACCACTACCTGTCATTGGATACAAATCATCTGGAAATCCTATCTACTCAATACCAATAGGTGCTTGTGTTGCAACTACAGTGGCTTCAACATCAATAATAAATTGCACCGGAAGCAATCAGCCTACTTATGTAATTCATGCCGAAACTGATATTAGTATGTCAAAAGAGTTATAATTATAACATCAAGTCATTTTTTATTTTAGCTGTAGTCAACTGTAATACTCCACCCACTGTTAGTAATGCTAACTACTCTCAATTGGATGGTGATACAGAGTATGGAGCTAGAGTTCAATACAGCTGTAGTACTGGGTATAATATTAATGGAAATGATACTATATCATGTCTACTGAATGCATCATGGTCTTCACCAACTCCATCTTGTTCATTAGTAGACTGTGGTAATCCTGGTGAACCAGCTAATGGATATACTAATGATAATGTATTCACTTATCAGTCTACAGTACAGTATCATTGTAATGAAGGATATCAACTATCAGGTGACTCATCTATTGAATGTACATCTAATGGTAATTGGAACAATACACTACCAAACTGTGCAATAATTAATTGTACTGATCCTGATACTCCTACCAATGGAACTAGAAATGGAACAGTTTTTACTTTCAATTCTACAGTATTGTATTCATGTGATACTGGATATACTATAACAGGAGCCTCCTCTCTCACTTGTCTATCCAATGGTTCATGGGATGCATCAGCTCCTTCATGTGATATTGTTAACTGTAGTAATCCAGGCACACCCACTAATGGAGAAAGGTTTGGTAGTGTATTCACCTATAATGCTGAGGTAGTTTATAGCTGTAATGAGGAGTATAGTCTTGTTGGTGTTCCGGTTATTACTTGTCAATCCAATGGTTATTGGAGTGATGCATTACCAAGCTGTGTATATATTGACTGTACTGATCCTGATATACCTGATAATGGGTTACGCACTGGTAGTAACTTTAGTTTTAATTCATCAGTTAACTTCACTTGTTATCCTGGCTATCAACTGACTGGTAGTGATGCCATTACTTGTAGTTCTGATGGTAAATGGAGCAATGATATTCCATCTTGTAATATTACCTATTGCAATGTTCCAATGTCACCAGCTAATGGTAATGTGTCCTATACTAGTTTAAGTGTTAATTCATCAGTATACTTCACCTGTGATACTGGATATACACTGACT